TCCATTTCTGTGGTTCTGTTCCTGTTCTAGTTGTTTACTTAGTTTCTTTTGGTTTTGCTTTAGGTGTAATTGTTAATAATTGTGAGTTTGCTGTCCTTTTACTATACATGTCTTTTCTTTATCTTCTTTTCTTAGATAAGTCCCTTTAGCATTTCATAAAATAAGGGCTTGGTGATGATGAACTCCTTTAACTTGACTTTATCTGAGAAGCACTTTATCTGCCCTTTCATTCTAAATGATCTAAATGAAAGAGCAATCTGGGATGTAGGTCCTTGTCTTTCATGACTTGGAATATTTCTTTCCAGCCCCTTCTTGCCTTAAGGTCTCTTTGGAGAAATCAGCTGACAGTCTGATGGGAACTCCTTTGTAGGTTACTGTCCCCTTATCTCTTGCTGCTTCTAGGATTCTCTCCTTCAATTTTTACCTTGGCTAATGTAATTATGATGTGCCTTGGTGTGTTTCTTCTTGGGTCCAACTTCTTTGGGGCTCTCTGAGCTTCTTGGATTTCTTGGAAGACCGTTCCCTTTGCCAGATTGGGGAAGTTCTCCTTTATTATTTGTTCAAATACGTGCTCCATCTGTTGCTTTTCTCCTTCCTGTTCTGGTACCCCTATAATTCGGATGTTGGAACGTTTAAAGGTGTCCTGGATGCTCTTAAGCTTTTCCTCGATTTTTTGAATTCTTATTTCATCATGCTTTCCTGCTTGGTTGATTCTATCTTCCTTCTGGTCCACTGTATTGTTTTGAGACTCAGATTCCTTCCTTTCACTATTGGCTCTCCTCCGCGTATCTTCCTGCATCTTTTATGGTAACCTGCATCCTTTCATCTAAATTGTGCCCAAAATCAACCAATTCCGTGAGCTTTCTGATCACGTGTTTTGAACTGTGCATCTGATAGATTGGCTATTTCTTGTTCGCTCAAAAGGATGAGTCCTGGGGGACTGATCTGTTCTGTTGGAAACATGTCTTATGTCTTTCCCTGTCTCTGGTCGCTCTTGTTACAGTGGGGGGCGGAGCCATAGGTGTTCTCTGGGGCTGGGCACCCTGGTCGCTAGATTGTGACGTTATATATGTGGGCGGGGCGGGAGCTGGAGGGGACAATGGCGATCGTTTCATTCTCCTGGGCTCAGGCCCTTCCTTGGGATCCTGGGCTGTGAGCTCTGCCCTGGTCCACAATCGCTGCCCCACAGGGTCTGCCAGCCGCCGCTTGCGTACTCAGGGATCACCGCTGCGTTCTTGCACCCCGGATGGCTGTCGCACCGATTTCGCGCCAAATTTCCCCCGACCTCTGCCAGCCCCGAGCCCGCCCGGCTCGTCATCTCCTACCGGTCTGGATGTACGGGTCTACTTCAACTTCTTGGCTGTCCGGCTTCCATTCAGATAAATCCTGTCAGTTCTGAGTGATATTCTGTCTGTAAATTATTGTTCTAATCTTGGTTGTGCGAGGAGGCACGGTGCGTCCACCTATTCCTCCATATTGCCGGAAGTCCTGTTGCTCAGTTTTAATTAGCCTTCTGTCATCAGATCATTTGATTATTCACCCCACTCATGTCCCAATTTTTATGTATATTCTCAAGGCTATTATTTAGCACTTTTTAAAAAAATTTTCTTTAAAAAGATTTGTATTTCTTTATTTTCGGAGAAGGGAGGGTGAAAGAGAGGGAGAGAAACATCAATTGGTTGCTTCCTGTTTGCCCCCAAAATGGGGACCCGGCCTGCAACCCAGGCATGTGCCCTGACAGGGATCGGAACCCACAACCTTCTGGCTTGCAGGCTGGTGCTCAATCCGCTGAGCCACCCCAGCCAGGGCTATTTGGCTATTTTCATGCACCTGAGCACACCATCTGATTCTGCCTCTCGTGTCTTCTTAAAGTCCCTATCTTACCTAGCCTTTGACTCCTTTCTTGTTCTGTGTACCCTGTTGTTGACATTGGCTATAGACCTGTTAGGTAGTACTCAGCATGCATCACAGCCTCTTGATGTGATACAATATAAGGTACCCAGTACAACTTGCAAATGTTTTTGATGAAAAATATGAAACTACATTTTATAAAACATATCCGTCAACTGTAACAGAAAGAATTTTTTAAAAAGTAGTTAGTCTGACTGATGGGGATCAGGTGGTTGGGTGTTGTCCTGCAAAGCAAAGGGTCACTGGTCCAACTCCGTCAGGGGACAAGCCTTGGTTGTGGGCCTGGTCCCAGGTTGGAGTGTGTTCGAGAGGCAACCAAGTGATGTTTCTCTCCCGCTATTTCTCTTTTCCTGCCCCCACCTCCCTTCAAATGAATAAATAAAATCTAAAACAAACAAACAAACCAGCAGTTAGATCTAACTTCTTGTTTACAGGAATCCAGAGGTGGAAGAAGGTACATAAACTTGTAGGCACATCAGAAAAGAGAACTTCCTACAGGACAAATGTTTCTTCAAGCCAGTAAGTTTAAGAAAAGTCAGGTGGAGGGGCTTTCTCATCTCTGTTAAGAGCTCTTCAGTTCAACTCAACTATGCTATTGTGAAAAGAAAGCAGCCATAGTTATTTTGTAAATGTATGGGTGTGGCTTTGTTCCAATAAAATTTTATTTGTAAAAACAGGCAGCTGGTAAGCCATAGTTTGCTGACTTTGACATTGATGAAATGAGCAACCAAAGCAACCATCATCACCACCACCACCACCACTTTTGAGAAAAATATATTTACAAAGGCACCATTAGCTTGAATTTTAAAAAATATATACAACCTTTATTTTTTCCATTACCTTATACTCCCCTCCCTAGCTTGAATTTTAAGACTGAGATACAAAATATCTTTGGGTCCCCAAGTGAGAAAGCTGCTCAGAAGGGCATATTCTTTAATACCCTCTTTGGATATGGCCAAGGTAATGGGGTAGGGGAGAACCTCCCAAAGGGCAGAACAAAGAACCATGGATGAAGAACTGCTCTCCGAGAGCGCAAGAGCCAAATCCAAAAGTGTTAGGAAGGGGCACTTCCTATCACTTACCAAGTTATATTTCAGAATTGCTACAGACCTTGTCCACTATTGCTTGCAGCAATATAATTTGTCTTCTCAGTTTCCTAGGTCTCCATATTAAGAGCCACATCTAGATCTGATGTGGACTATTGAGATTCTGAACTTTGAAACATATTGCATGCTATTGTTAGGTTATCTTTGGGAAGTGGTGTGTCTTTTACAGACAGGAGAGGTTAATATTTAAGACCAAGATGCAGACTGGGAAACCAGTCTTTTCAACCAATATCCATTTTCTGTCCACCATTCTGGAACCCAGAATGCCCCTGCTGTGGAAGAATTATACTTTCCTGCCCCGCTCATGTGGAGCTGGTCAATGAAACCTGCGTGGAAATAATGTACACCTCGTCCAAACACAAACTTTAAATGTGTTTGTGTATACAATTTGACTTGGCCTCATAAGCCATGATGTTTCAGATAGTGCTCCTTCAAGCCTGGGTCCTAGAATGACCAGCCAAACCATGAGTAAAAGACAGACATAACTGTTATAAGCCACTGAGATTTGCTGCTGTTATCCAGCAGGATTTCAGACAAAGCTAACATAATTTCTCAGAGTTGGACATTACGAGGGAACACACAGGATAAGAGTCCCAGGAAAGCAAAAAGTTCTTCAGGTGATACTGATAATCTGTTGAGATGGGATTCACTAACATAGTGTGCATCTGTGATTTACTGCAGTATCTTTGGATCAGAAAGGCATTTTACAGAATGATTTTCCAGAAGAAAAATATGACTAGTTTTACAATTTATGTAGAGAATTTCCAAGAATTCACTGTGGCAAAAAGAATAAAATTACAAATGAATGATTTATCAAAATAAATGAAAACCATAAATCTTCCGAAGAAAAGTGTTCAGTATATACATTTAGGCAAGTGTTGGTATTTTTATTATTGATCTAAAGAACATATTTCAAATGCTATTACCAACTGCAGTGCATCTTTGCAAGTTGTTTAAGGTCTTAAAGAGTGCTGAAAACACCACAGTATCTATAAAAATGAACAATGGCTCCAAAATAATAAAAAGCTCAAGTTAGAGTTTTCAAAAGATGGGATGCATAAAAAGTAACAAGTTCTATTTTTTAATTAGAAGAGCAACATTTTTTTATTTTTAACTTGTAAAAGTGTTGCATGATATAGACATACAAAAGAAAAAGTCACAATTCCTTCACAATAACCCCAACTGTTAACCCTTTGGGTGTCTTTCTTGTTCAAGGCTAAGGTGCTTTATTTAGGTCTCTGATTAAAGATGTGGGTGTGAGTTGGGGGAATTGAGATGCTGGTCAAAGGGTACAAACTTAGAAGATGATTAGCCCTAGCTTGTGTGGTTCAGTGGATTGAGAGCTGGCCTGTGAATCAAAGGGTTGCTAGTTTGATTCCCAGTCTTTGGCACATGCCTGGGTTGCAGGCCAGGTCCCCAGTAGGGGGTGTGTGGACAACTATAATTGATGTTTTTCTCCCTCTCTTTCTTCCTCCCTTCCTCCCTCTAAAAATAAATTTTAAAAGTCTTTTTTAAAAAGATGATTAAGTTTTAGAGATTTAACATACAGTATTGTGATTACAATTAACAATACTGTATTATATACTTCAAAGTTGCTAAGAGACTAGATCTTAAATGTTTTCACAAAAAATTATGACATAATAGAGATGTTAGCTAATGCCATGGTGGTCAATTCAACACGCTGTATACCTTAAACTTACACGTTACATGTCAATTATATCTCAATTAAAAAAAAAAAAGAATCTGTAGCTTTGGCTGGTGTGGCTCAGTGGATTCAGTGCCAGCCTGCAACCAAGGGGTTGCTGGTTTGATTCCCAGTCAGGGCACATGCCTGGGGTGTGGGCCAGGTCTCCAGTTGGGGGTATGCAAGGGGCAACCACACACTGATGTTTCTCTCCCTCTCTTTCTCCATCTGTTCCCCTTTATCTAAAAATAAATAATTCAAATATATATAATAAATTTTAAAAAAGAGAATCTGTCATGAAATAAATCTAAAATAAGATTTATTTGAATAAAATACAACTGACTGTTAAAAAATAAAGATGTGGATATGCTTTTCTAATTTTTCTGGTATTTTGGTTGACAAAGAAATGCACAGATGTATTACAAATAAGAGTTGGGACTTCCAGGAACTTAGAAAAAATGTCCACATTGAGTGGAAAGCTGACTAGATAAAGTCTTTCCAAACCCCCTTGTAAGGCCAAGATTTTCAGATTCTTTTGGAGTATGCCAGTCACTTTAATTATCATATTTAAAACAATAGATTCCATGTTATAGTGTTAAGCTAAAAAAAAATTTGTAGTATAAGAATAGTTCCAAAAATACCAAAAAACATATTGCACCTAAAATGTGCTATTTAAATGATGTATCACAGATAAAAGCAAATAATGACAACATAGAATTTTTATTACATCATGGTGAGATTCTTCTCAAGCTGCAGAACAGTTTCCTTAAGAGCAGAATCCTCTGCCCAATTGACTTTACTCCCCAAAATGAGGTTCTGTAACACACACAAAAACAATTTTTTTCAAATTAAAGTTATAAGTACTTTAATATTTAACAAGCTTTCAAAACATCCTATTTCACTAATCTCATCAAATAATTGCCAAACAAAGTGTGAACATTTAATCTGTGATCATGAGAAAAACACAGTGATACATTATTATATGCTCACTTCCACTTTCAGTGAGGCTTCAGGCTTGATCCCCATGCTGCTAGGGAAGATTTACAATGCTAACAATTTTTTATGCTGCGTCAGTTTTTGTGGGCAGTTTCTCCCATTAAGGATGCCTGCAGTGGTATTCTAGATTAAAGGGAAAAGATTGCAGTTGGTTCAGAGTTCACTTTGTACTTGTATGGTGAACAGCAATTTGAGCCTAACTAATATGTCCTATTTTTAAAAAGAGGTAAAAGAGCTTAGTTCTCAGTTCTTGCCAAGTTTCAAGACCCTGAAAAAAGATGAAGAGCAGTTTTGTGGTAGACAATGGAAGAATAATTAGGGTCATAATTAATGAAATTTCTGGTCAGTATGCACTGAAAAACTATATAGCTCAATGATACTGAGTTACTAATTGAAATATTAAAATCCACTTTAGAGTATAATGGTATATTATAACACATAAAACACAAAACTTTGGCCTATATAAGGCATGTTCTTGCCATAAGTAAATAAAAGGGCTAGTGTATACAAATTCAGTCAAATTTGCAAAGGCAGATGAAAGTAAGCATTCAAACGTGACTGAACCCCTGAAGACCCATTCCATTAGGAACAAAGAGAGCTCCCAACTTGGCCAAATCAATAATCTGTTTAACAAAGCAATGAATTAACTCAAAATTAACACTAATTTAGAGAATGTAAATAAAAATTAGGAAATGCAGAATAATGCATTCCACCCCCTTATTTTCCCAGCTGCACTCTTATTTCCCCAGCTGCACTGGCTCTGGAGCACTCCTGGCACCTGTCCCTCCCCCTCCTCTCCTGTCCACCAGGTGCATTACCTTTGCCTTTTCTTTTCTAAACTCCAGCCTTTCCTTTGCCTCTGTAACTTATTTCCTGAGCCCATACAGCCCAGTTGGCTCACCTTTTTTACTTCTGTGACTTTCTAAATAAACTCTCTTACAATAAAAAAATTAAAAGAAAAAAAAAAAGAAATGCAGACTAACAGAAGTCTCAAAGGAGTAGACAGAAACATGTGCCAAAGAAAATGAAAATGATTCTTTACTCATGATGTAATCCTCCTCTTAAGGTTAGCTTAGGGGATTTGATTACTTCTAATTGAAAAACCCACTGTTACTAAAAAGTATGTGTAAGACCTGGGGAAGAATTTCTTATGGTGACACATAAGGCCTCATATTGTACAAGGATATGTGTTATGCATAATAGGCATTTGCTTTACATGTAATAGACCATTTTAACTGTGCATCTTCATAATTCGAAACTGGCAATTTAAGTATTTCAACAGTTCCAGAGACATTTTATAATTCAAAAAGTACTTAAAAAAACCCCAGAATAAAGACGTGGACACTTGAAATTTAAAACTTGACATGATTATAACTACCAACATTTATTGAGAATTTACTTGGACCAGACACTATGCTAAGGAGATTAGCACGAATTATATTCTTTAGTTTTCACACCACTCTTTCTAAACTAGGACAGGGACACTTAGGCAAGTTAATAATTTGCTCATGGTCAGCCACTATTAAGTGGCAGTCAGGATCTTAACTCTAGACTCCCATCACCCCCATCTATGTTCTCCCCAAACTCCCAACTTGGAATCTAATGCTCTCCACCACTGTATCATGCCTCCACAGGGCTGCTAAAAATCATTCCATTTATAAATGCCATAATGAAAAATCAAAGCCATAGACATTAAATATACATGAATTACAGATATATGTAAACAGACCAATTTTCAGTACTGAGTTATTCTGCCAAGATCAAAGACTAACTGTAATTCTAAAAGTAATAAAATCAACCATTTTTACTAAACAAAACAAAGTTCTTTACCTCCCTTCCTTATTTACATACACGTTACCTGGAACACATGTTGAATAACTGTAGTAATTTGTATCTCCATCTGTAGCTTTTGTTTTAAGGTCTTTATCTTGTCTGAATTTTCCATACTGTCCAAATCATCTTTCTGTTTGTTCTTTTCAGTCTGTACTTCTAAAAACTTTTGTTCTGAAGCTCGTTTTAATTCTATGAGGTTAAAAATAAAACAAGGTACTATATGTAGCAATTCCTACAAACAAGAATCCTAAAAAATTATGGTTATTTCAGTCAAGAGAAAATATTTTTAAAGATTTTATTTATTTATTTTTAGAGAGAGAGGGGAAGGGAGGAAGAAAGAGAGGAAGAGAAACATTGATCAGTTGTCTCTTGCACATCCCCAACCTGGGACCTGGCCCTCAACCCAGCCGTATGCCCTGATTGGGAATTGAACCTGCAACCTTTTGGTTTGCAGGATGACGCCCAACCCACTAAACAACACCAATCAGGGCAAGAGAAAATTTTCAATTAGGAGAATTTTAGGTTGAAGTTCTATTTTGATCTAAATATGACTTCTCTGGTACAAAATACCAATATCTGAAATTTGTGCTTAGCAATGCAAATGTTCAAGGTCTGTATATATGATAATGATAGCTGTTCACAAATGTCTGAAGTGACAGAGTGTCAAAGAGGACCTACTACAGGTACCAAAATAGGTAAAAGTTATATGTTAGCAAATAGTTTCCCCTTTTTTATTTATAAAATAACATATCACTAAGATGAATTTTCAATGAAAAGGTTCCCTTCTCAAGATATAAACATCAACCATTTATTGTAGTTCCTGAAATGTTCCAAGAATTAAACTATTTGAAAACATAAATGGGTATAAATGGGTATGTCTTAGGAGCTTGGTTCCTTACCTTAATGTATCGAAAGTAGGTTAGAATGCAATGGAAAAATATTACATAGTCAAAGGATAATTAGATCAGATAATCAAGACTATTTCTGACCCTTACATTACTTACAATAAGACAAATCTACATATTTAAAAATAATAAACCATGCTGTTAAAATGAAGAAAGCAGTTTACAACACAGAATAAAGTGATGCCAATTTTATATAAAAAAATAAGCATTGAAGATGGATTATCTCTTGATGGTAAAATAAAAAATTTAACTTTTCCTACATATACTTTACTGTTTCCAAATTTTCTATAGAGAATGTGTACTACTTTTGAAATAAACATTTCAGTAATTTCAATGCAAAAAGCCATCTCATGTTCATTAAATTACAAAGCTGTAGAACCACATGTATTAACTGACCACATAAAAATTATGGACATATAAACACGTCTAACTGCGGTCACACAGGAAGGAGGCAGGACTTTCACATCACACTTTTCTGTATCATTTGATTTCCCCTCACTGAGAATGTACTCATTTCGTGACAATGTTCTAAAACAACAAAAGTATATCAAGCAAAATATATTTTATATACTACTTTTTAAGTTGCCATGCCTAAAATTTTAAGAAAATTTGAAAATTAAGAAATTTCTCAGAGCTGAGAGATGTGGCCCTATCAATCTCCATATGAAGTGAAAATGTTATACAAAACCCCCAAGAACTGTTCTACATACCAAATCTCTTCTTTTTAACATTAAGCAGTTTTGCCTCCAAATCCCAAGATTCCTGTTATTAGAAATAAAAAGATTAAGGCACACTACCTAAGAACAAACATGTAATACTTAAATCACTGAATTTTATCTTGGTTTATATTTTCTAAACCTCCAGTTTTTAATTACTTCATTTCTATACAACAAGAGAGGAGAAAGTAGCATAAACTATAAGTAGACATTTAGCAACATTAATGAAAAATAATTGAGTTATGAAAAAGAGAGAGAAAAGCCCTCGCCAGGTGGCTCAATTGGTTAGAGCATCACCCCATATAACAAAAGGTTGAGGGTTTGATCCCTGGTCAGGGCACATACCTAGGCTATGGGTTTGACCCCAGGGTGCATGCAGGAGGAGGCAACTGACTAATGTTTCTCTCTCTCCAAAATCAGTAAATATATCCTTGGGTGAAGATTTAAAAAAAGAGAGCGAGAGAAAACTTAAGGACACTGAGTTCCAACCATATCAGTCCCTTTGGGCAATCCTATTTAATCATATATAATGCAGTTACCAGCAAGAAAGTGTTACTAAAATCACTGAGAATGCATAAGCAACCCCATGTGTAAAGTTACCTGCTGTGATGTCATTATTATTTTATTTAGCTTTAATATGTGTTTCATGTTTTCCATGAGCTCACTGAAAAGAAATAAAAAATATGATGTTAGTCTTAGTTAAAAGCAATGCCTCATTAGTGAAGGAACCAATTAGTATTATATACTTTCGTTAAATTAACTGTACACTTCAATAGAAAATCATCATCTAACAATAAATCTGGAAAAGTTTGATGTAAACTAAATTTCTGTTTAAAAGTAGAGATGCATTTCCCTAGAAAAATTTTTGATTACGGACAACAAAAATACCAAATTCAAGCATGTAGGAACATTTCTAAAAATCTCATATTTAGGGAGAAAAAACTAACAATTTGCTAATAAGTTTCTTTTGAAAAATACTTTACTTTTTAAAGCAATTTTAGGTTCATAGCAAAACTAAGCAGAATGTAAGTCACTATACCCTCTGCCCCTACACATGCACAGCCTCCCCTACTGTCAACATCCACCACACAGGTCCAACAATTACAAATGATAAACCTTTACCTGACACAACGTAATTACCCAAAGCCCACCGTTTACATTAGAATCCACCTTTGTTGTTGTACATGCTGTGGGTTTGACAACTGTATAATGACATGAATCCACTATCACAGTTTCATGCAGAATAGTTTCACTGAATAAACTGCTTTTTGTCTCCATTTCTTCAACAAACATTTCTGAGTGCCTACTACATACCAAGAACTGAGCCAGGCATAGTGCCTGTTTTCAGAGAGGAAAGAACCTGGTAGAGGAGAAAAATAAATTTACAACCATAGTATGGTTCCATCACAACCAGTAATGGATATGAACCACTACAAGACTTGTGCAGAGTGGGGCAAGGGACACCCTGGAATCTTAAAGGACATGAAGTGATCACCTAGGTCAAATAGTTTGGAATGGCTGGAGCCAGAGGGTGTGAAATAGGCCTGGCAAAAACAGTTCTCATATTTCAAAGTGCCACAGTCCCTTTGGGAGGGCTGTTCAATGTGGGTTGACAGCTGCCCACTCCACCACCCTCCACCCCCACACCTTGGTTTTTAGATTCAGAGTCAGTAGGTTTGGGGTGGGACAAGCAATGTGGTCACTGTGATAATACCAATTACTCTGATACTGTAGAAGGGAGGTAGTGGAGAGGCTGAAAAGGAGGAATCTACACAGACATGGAAGAATTGAACTCATTTTCTACTGGTTACAGCTGTACTTGGTTGTAAAGTTTATGATGAATCTGTCCTATACTCCTTTAACTCAAGAATGTTTTTAAGCTCTCATTTTATGGAAGAACAAGAGTTAGCTCAATTCAGACTTTAGGGTTTATATAACCCTGGATCTATATGGAATATGGGGAGAATGTGTGTGAGTCTGAACCACCAAGATAGAAGTGCCCAACTCTATCTTAGACTTTTTCTGCTGCTTACGGGAGAGGATTTTTATATAACAAGATTTTTAGAGCCTTGGGAGATAAGATCACAGGTAAGGCTCCTGAGGCCAGACATTTAGAACCAGATTGTAGGGGACCCTGACTGCCAGAGTCTTTATTTTATATTACTTGACAAACTGTTAAATGTGTACAAGCTCATTTCTGCTAATGAAAAATAGTTTACCTTCAATCACTGGGTTGTTGTTGATTAAATGAAATAGCAACTGTTCCTGGTTTTCAGTGCATGATGCACAAAATTAACTTTCAAACCTTCCTCCAAATTTTCAGACTATCCGGTTAAAACCTAAATTGCTTCTTAGCGTTGGAATATAAACAAGATGTCAGTGGGACTATAAAAGTAGTTGTAATACTGAGCAAGGCCCACAAAACTTCCATCACTTTTCTTATTCTCCAGATAAAAGTGGTTGGCAGTGACAGTTAATTTTTTTAAAAATCAAGAAACTAAAGTCATTATGCAGATCCCCCTTCTAATTCCCATCCTTAACCAAATCCAGAAAGAAAAAGGTACCTATTCTGAATGTTACTTTCTTCCAGGTTTTTTCTAAGGGCCGTCGAAAGTTGCATCCTATGAGAGGAAAAAACCTGGTATTATAAAACATGGATAGCATTTATGGTACACTGAAAAGAAAATTAAAAAATATGACAAGTTAAAGACTGATTTCTATTTAAATATAACATAAAACATAAGTAGGTTTTAAAATAGTATTATATGGGAAATATTTGATAAGTCACAGAAATATGAATGCACACTAAGATGGATGGGGCTGCTGCACGTAGTTGTGCACTGCCAGCCTGAAATCCAGCCTGAGCTTTGCTTTCTCAGCCATCCACCTTGGTGCCTGGAAAAGCAACACGCATGCAGTCACTACAGAGATCTAGAGGGCCTGAAATGGAAAGAGTTAGAGAATCAAACCCACATTTAACTATAAAGTTTGAAATATGCCTACATACAAACAAGCTCCATAAATCACTGTTAAATTCAAATAGCTAATAAATAAGTAATAATAAAAAGTCAGTGTGGTGTCAAAAAAGGCATAAACTAAACACTTTGCAGCCCTTTCCTGCCCTTGACTATGATGTCTTTGGTGGAGGAGCTACATAAGTAACAGTGCAAAAGAAGAAGAAAAAAAAGTCAGTCAACTCAGCAATATTAGAGCCCTTCCTTTTTGTCACACACACGAACATTTATTAAAAGGATGTATCGTAATACCTCTGAAGTCACCTTAGTTAAAAAATATGATCTATATAATGAGCCAGCATTATATAGATAATATATCTATATATTATCTATAGATATATTAGTTCACTGGGGGAAAGCTCACTGTCAGAAGCAATTAAAAGCACTTTAGCTCTGACCAATGTGTCTTAGCTGGTTGGGTGGACGTCGTTCTGCAAAGCAAAAAGTGGCCAGTTCAGTTCCCAGTCAGGCCACAAGCCTGGGTTACCAGTTCAGTGGCCCAGTTGGGGTGACTACAAGAGGCAATCAATCGATGTTTGTCTATCACACTGATGTTTCTCTCCCTCTCCTTTTTCCTCTGTTCCCCCTCTTTAAAAATAAGTAAATAAAATCTTAAAAAAAAAAAAAGACAGTGAAAAGCACTACTACTTTTCAATTACATGTATGAAGAAATTCATCTAGGAAGGCGAGGAATACAAGAAAGTAATTTTTAAAACTCATTAACTTAATTGAGATAATTAATTCAGCTCAGAAAGTCAATAAGAGACTGTGTTTATCTTATTAACAACTGTATACCAACACCTAGCACAAAGCTTAGGACATAGCAAGGGCTCAAATATTTGTTGAATAAATTTTAAACTACAGATGCAAAAGCTAATTTAAAATATACTTTAAACTCGATGACAATTCTTTTACACAATTAACAGTTACTGGAATAAACAAATCCACACGATCCTTTCAAACGATGAATGGGATTTAACTTCACATTTATATTGTTTTGACATTTCCTTATTAACCCTGTATCATGTAAGTTCTTTAAGTGAATGATATAACTTTTCTCTCAGTGTTCAAAATTTGTGTGACCATTTTGCTTAATTCATTTAGACTAAAATATTTTTTCCACCTCTAGCCATACTCATTTTGCATTCCATTCACAATGCTTATTTATGAAATAATTACCTATCTAATGCAAGCTTTTTCATTTCAAAAGCCATTTTCACCTCTTCAATTTCATTTTCCAGGTCTTCAATTTTACTATTAAAAAAGCATAAATAAAAGAATTTCAGCAATATCAGGAGAAGTCACTATTGGAATAAATGTATGAAGTAAACTTTTGAAAAAAGAGAAATGCCTCTATCTAAATAAAAGTATTTTATAGGTTCACCACACCAATGCACTTACAGATTTGGCAAACTGATGCCTCCTGAGACATTCTGATAAATATCTTATTAAGGGACAATACCAAAAGTGCTAATAGGATTGCTCATGTATATATATGTAAGTCTGTACCCTATATCAACAAGTTCTCAATACATGCATGACAAATTACTTGGGAAGTAAAGGGGGAAAAAAAAGAAAATACTATAAGATGGATATTATTATGAAATCTTTAGTAAAAGCCACAAATAAAATTTGAAATATAACATACGTTTCAATGTGCTTTTCTGGAATGATTTCTTCTGGAGTTTTTTCTTCATCTACAAATAAATAATTTTTTTATTAAAATTTTTTTTAATTGATTGATTCTAGGCAGAGAAAGGGGGGGGAGAGAGAGAAAAACACTGATTTGTTGTTCTACTTATTTATGCATTCTCTGGTTTATTCTTATACATGCCTGACCAAGGATTGAACCCACAACATTGGCATATCAGGACAATGCTCCAACCAACTGAGCTATCTGACCAGGGTAATTTTTTGAAATTAGCAATGTTTTATTTAGAACAGCGCTGTCCAGAAATATAATGTAAGCCACAAATATAAACCAAATATGTAATTTTATTTTCTAGTTTCCACATTACTGAAGAAACAAGTCAAAATGATTTTAATATAGGTTATTTAATCCAATAGATACAAAACAGTATCATTTCAACATGTAATCAATTTAAAATTACTAATGAAATATTTCACAACCTTTTCTTTAGTGCACATTTTACACTTACAGCCCTTCTCAATGAAGACTAATCACATTACAAGTGTTCAACAGCCACAGAACTAGTGTCTACCATATTGGACAGAACAGTTTTAGAATTATAGAAAATAAAAGGGAGTAAAAACTGAACAAGATCAACACAAAAAATTGACTGTATGTTTATACAAATTGGAAATTCAAATTTAACAGTACCATGTACAAATGCATCAAAAACATGCAAATACTCAAGAATCAATTTAATAAAATATGTGTATGACCTCTACGTTGAACACTACCAAATTTTTTAATGGGAAAAACATACTATGTACTTGTATTGGGAGAGCCAATATTGCTAAAATAAAAATTTCCCCCACATGGATCTAAAGATCATAATCAAATCCCATTCAGAATTTCAACAATTTATAGAAATTGTTCTACAGAAAAAAGAAAAGTCGATTTTAAAATGCATATAGTAATGCAAAGGACCTAGAACAGTCAAAACCATTTTGACAAAGAAGAAAATCAGGGGACTTATGGTAGCTGATATCGAGATTTACTATATAGCTACAGTAGTTGAGGCAGTGTGGTACTATGGTCAGCACAGACAAATGCCTCACAGGAAAACAGGAAAGAGGGCAGATACAGACCCACACATATGCTATGGAGACTGAAAAGCCTTTTCAACAAACAATGCTGAAAAAACTGGATTTCCATATGGAAAAAAATGAACCTTGACCCCCTTAGCTCACACCATACACAAAAATTAACTAGAAAATCAGACCTGAATGTTAAAACTAAAACCATAAAATTTCTAGAACAAAACAGGAGAAAATCTTTCTGACTGTGAGGTAGTCACAGATTTCTTAGATAAAATCTCAAACTTAGAGAGTCCAACAATCCAATTAAAAAACGGGCAAAGATTTGAACAGACATTTCAAAAAAGTACATTCATATATAAATTGCCAATAAACACATGAAAAGATACTTAGCATGATTAGTTAGTAGGAAATAGAAAGTAAAGCCACAGGAGATACCACTAAGTACTTATTAGAATGGGTAACATTTAAAAAGATTGTCAGTACCAAGTTTTGAAGAGGACATCGAGTAACTAGCAATCTCATACCCTGCTGAGGGGAATGTTTTGTAACACTATAATCATCTTAGCTGTTTGGCAGATTCTTAAAAAATTAAACATATGCTTATCACGTGAATTGCAACTTCACTTTCAGGTTTTTAACCAAGAGAAATGAAAACAAATGTCCACAAAAAGACAAGTACAAATAACAAATGTCCATAGCAGCTTTACTTAAAATGTGCAGAAACTGCAAACAATTCCATGTCCATCAGCAGGTGAATGAATAAACAAATAGTGATATAGTCATCATGGAACACACTCCACAATAGAAAGAAATGAATTACTGAAACAAACAACATGGATGAATCATAAAAATACTACACTGTGTAAAAGTAGCCAGACACATTGGGAATGACTACTAACAGGTACTAAGTTTCTCTTTAGGGTGGTGGAAATTAGTTGTAATGGTTGTACAACATTGTTGGGGGGGAATATATATATATATAATTATATAATTATATTATAATTATATAAATTATAATTATATATAAAATTATATATATAATATAATATATATTATATATAATTATATATAATTATATGTAAATTATAATTATAATTATATAATTATATATATATATAATTTATTTATTTTGTAAAAGATTTTATTTATTTATTTTTAGAGAGGGGAAGGAAAAGAAACATCAATGTGTGGTTGCCTCTTGCGTGCCCGCTACTGGGCATGTGACCCACAACCTAGGCATGTGCCCTGACTGGGAATCAAACCAGCAACCCTTTGGTTTGCAGGCCAGCACTCAATCCACTGAGCCACACCAGCCAGGGCAACATCGTGAATATATTAAAAACTACTGAAATATATATTTTAAAATGAATTTAATATTAAATGAATTCTCAATGAAAAGATTTCTGACAAAAAATACATTATCATATAATTCCATTTACATCAAATTCTAGAACATGGCTGCTCAATACAACTTTCTATAATGACGGGAATGTTAAATAACTTTTTTTTAATGGTAAAATAATCACTTTTGGATATCGTCTTCATTCAAAGACGATAACCTAACTTCTCATGGCTTGCTTTAAATTTATCTTCTCCTTTACTTGTAGACATTCTTTAGTGTGGACTACTAAATCTACTCAAGTTTTCAGATGTCACAATCCCTTAAAAATGAAATTAGCTATTAGAGGGAAAACCAAGACTGACTGTTTGAGAAGGGAGACTCTTTCTTATCATTTGATTTTAGCTCTTATGTCATTTTCTCAGAAGAGCCATCTCAATCACCCCATCACTGCACCATTACTACCTTCAGCACACTGACCATACTTCATAACTATCTGATATGTTTCTTCGCTTACCTGTTTTGCTATAGAGAACTTAAGATTCATGAGGGCAAATTCAAATCTGTCTTGTTCAACACTATCTCCATGCCTGGCATGGTGGCAGGGACACATCGGAGACTTAAAAGGAGAAAAATGAATGCAGGAATATCTACAGAGATAAATCCTCAATGGTCCAAATTTTGAATAGTTTTCCCCCTACATCCTGTCTTCTAAGATAGATTATCCTTTTCGATTATGTGGACTTTCATGCAAAAACATTAGCTCATTTTTAAAGTAAACATCATAGGTTTAATTTAAAAAGCATGAGAGCTGGAAATAAGGGGACCATTCACTCTGTAAGGGGATGGACAGTGACCACTGACTGGCCATCTTTGAGGTAAGCATTACTGATATAATGGAAGGGTCATGGCTTTGGAGGCAAGAAGGTCTGGTTCATATCCTAGTTCCCAATTTTTTAGTTGTAGTAAGCAGAAAAGAAGTGACAGGCCTCATTTTTAGTTAGTTTTTTGTTTGTTTTTGCATAAAAAGACTTTAGAAACCCAACAATATCCAATGGAAAACACAGCAGAACTGCTGCTGATTTATGGCTTTGAAATAAAATTTGAGCAGAGTCTGAAAATTACCTAAGTTCAAACACAGATTCAGGTGAAGTGAAGCAGAGATCTATGAGATTCCTTGTTTCAATAGTATTGAATAACAATTCTTGAGTCAACCTAATGTATTATTTGATTTTATTCTTTAAGCCCCTTTCTTTGAGAAAACAAGGTTCACCAAGCCTACCTTTGTGAGCCAAAGGCTTACGAGTCAGGTGGCAATTGGCGATTATTGCTTCTGGAGGGCGAAACCCATCATTTCACTACTCTCTTGGTCCCAGAGACTTCTGAATTAATCATTTTAAAAGATAAATTAAAAATTTTTGTGTTTATGACCTGGCTGGTGTAGCTCAGTGGATTGAGTGCGGGCTGGGAACCAAAGTGTCCCAGGTTTGATTCCCAGCCAGGGTACATTCCTGGGTTGCAGGCCATAACCCCCAGCAACTGCACATTGATGTCTCTCTCTCTTCCCTCCTCCCTTCCCTCCCTAAAAATAAATAAATAAAATCTTTAAAAAAAAATTTTTGTGTTTACAATAAAAAATTGTCATTCATGTCTTTAAGCTGATACCCCTTTGCTTCTCATTTCTATTACGCAGTGCTTCTCAAAGTATAGGTCTCAGATCACTTGCTTCATAGTTATATGACCTGCTAATTCAGTCTTTAAATTGATGGTAGCAAGTTCTATGATTCCTTAAGCCCACTGGGATCTTTCAGTTTTCTGATCAATAGAACTTAATTGCCTTGTATTGTTATTTAGATATAACCATGTATTTCCTGACATGTATTTCCTGAATCCCTAACTAGTTCTACAGGGCCTGGGCAAGCCTGCTTTTTGCCTTCTATGTGGTATAATGCAGCATTATGCTGCCACTCCTATTCCCTAAGTAAGCAGCTTTTTCTAAAGTTGACTGTCCTTTCCCTAGAGTACTCATCAAACTCAAAAAACCTTATTTGAAAATGCAAATATGCCCTGACAGTGTGGCTCAGTTGGATGAGTGTCACCTCACAAAGGGAAAGGCTCTCAGTTAGATTCTCATTCAGGGCACGGGCCTGGTTTGCCGGTTCAGTCCTGGGTCGGAGTGTGCACTGAAGGCAACCGGTGTTGCTCTCCCTCTTTCCCTCTCTCTAAAAAGAAGTAAGTTGGTTTTCAGAACTGGTTTCAAAGAGAGATGCCAGGGGGCTGCCTTCGAGCTCAGGAGCTGAAACATAATTTAGATTAAGTTATACCAATGTAAGAAACGTTCAAACCCACAGAGAATTTTTATGAGTTTACCTGAGACAAACTGATGACAATTTCCAGGAAGCAAAACCTTAATGAGTTGAGAAAATGCTCCAGAAAATGGAAGTTGCGCACATTATTTTATACAATAAAAAGAGAAGAGGGTATTGCCTACTGTTTGAGGGGTTGAGAAAAAGAGAAATTATTTTTGCAAAGACATGTTATCAGTTATTGTTTCAGGAATTAGAGGTATAACCCACCTTGACTCCAGGAGGCCATAAGCAGCTCCACCTTTGTGTCTCAGGAGGACTCAAGCAATCAAGATGGTACCTAAGCCATTGCGCTCCAGGGACAGAAGCCTACCACCCACCACAGAAGACACAGATAAAAATCACTGCCCAGGGCACAGATTAAAGAATGCTTTTCTTTTTTAATCTGAGTAACTTTTTCCCTGAATTCCAAACCCATTACCTACACTTTTCTTCTCCTTATACAAAGGGTCTGTTGAAAACGGGATTTAAGACAGTCTGGTAGTATATAAACCCACCATCTTTTCAGATCACTGGCCATCTGAATAAAGTACCCATATAGATTCTAAACAAACAAACAAATAAAATCTTAAAAAAAAAGGAAATACAAATACTTACTTGCATCAACCATTGACTTATATTCCAAGAGTTGTTGTTTTGTCTGTGCTCTCAGTCTGAAAAGATAAAAAGAGAAAGTAATATATTTATTGAGGTTTTATTCCTTACTGTATGTTAAAGTAACTCATTTTTTGGAAGCTAATACAACAAAATAAGTATAAATAAACAGCATTAAAGTCTTCTAGTTTTGCCTCGTTTTATTTAAAATGGTCATAAAAAATTTTAAGGCCTCAGAGGAAGACAACAAAATGGAATACAGTAGAAAACAGCATCTGTGAGGAAAAGTTAAAAATTTGATTTTAAAATGTGTTCTTTTTGCTTTATTTTTTATAGAATTCTTTGGGGTGATACTGGTTAATAACATATATATATAATTCTACATCACTTGTATACTTAAAATTATACATATTTCAATTTATTCTTAATAGGCCACAGAGAAGTGGGGCTTAATGAGAAATGCTACACAAAAAAACTAGATCAAAACGGGGAAGTCTGCAGACACTGATGAGTTTACGACCATATTGTAAAATGCACAGGAGATCCAGAAAAATACAAAGATACTAATTCTTGGATAGATAAATAAAACGTAGTTTCTTAGTTGTCCTATGATTCTACTTAATTTAAATAACACATAAAATAAATAGAAAAGCTATGGCTAAATGGTAATTAGTTAAGCTGTGCTTACAAGATGTTTCACACTTACATGGTAGTTTCATAAAATTGAAACTGTTGCTTTGTGACTTTGAGACATTTTTAAGAAGAGCCCTGGCTACTATGGCTCAGTGTATTGAGCACGGGCCTGCAAACTGCAAGGCTGCGGGGTTGGACACCTGGTCAGGGCACATACTTGAGTTGAGGTCCAGATCCTCAGTTGGAGCTGCAAAAGGCAGCTGAATCAGTGTATCTCTCACACGTTTCTCTCCCTTCCCATTTCTCTAAAAATAAATAAATAAAATCTTAATAAAAAAAGAAGCTAAGACATATCAGACAAATTTCTAAAGCTCCATGGCAGTTTCTTATGCTTCAAAACTCCAAATGAAAAGAGCCATTTGTTAGATGTTAATTAGGCTAGCATTTTATAAGGCACACTGAAAGATTCATTTCCTTATCTTTAATGTTTTAGTATTTTATATTGCAAGTAGAAGGGAATATTTACTTATTTATTATCTTTTAATCCTCACTCAAGGAAATGCTTATTGATTTTTGAGAGATGGGAAGGGAGGGAGAGAAATATCAACGGGTTGCTCTTGTACATGCCCCAGCCAGAGACCTAAATGCAACCTATGCATGCCCTGACCGGAATTGAACGGACGACCTTTCGGTTTACAGGACTATGCTACAACCAACTTACCCACACCGGCCAGGTCATGAGGGATTTTTAAAGTGAGCTTCTGATCTTTATTAGCCAAAGCAGTGGAGAACCTGACAAACACAGTGCTTATTTTTTAAAATTCCTTTGTTATGATTTAGAATGATTAGCAAACTTCTTTAAGGACCTAGCAGCAAATATTTTAGGATTTGTGAGTCATATGGTCTGTGTTGTACTTATTCAATTCATTCCTTGTAGAAGGGAAGCTGTGTTAAGTAAAAATAAATTTTTATTTAAGGGCAATAAAACTTGAATTTCATATAACTTCCACGTGTTATTAAATATTCTTCTTGTACATTCCACCGCTCCCAATCCCTAAAGACATAAAAACTATTCTTATTTTGAGGGGTTCACACAAAAACAGGCAGTAATGTGGACCTGGTTGTGGTTTGCCCACTGGTTTACAAGATTGATGTCCCTTCTCAAGAAATCTTCCCCTAGCAACTGCTTAGGGGAAGCAGTTTATTCCTTTAGTTACTTAGTTATTAGTTACTTAGTTACTTAGTTATTCCTTTAGTTATTTAGTTAAAATGAGTTACTTTAACATACAGTAAGGAATAAACTGCTTAGAAAATATAACAAATAAAAACATTAAAAAAACCTTCTGGATGGAAAAGGGCTGTAGCGCTAAAAGAAAGGGGCGGGGCAACCTCCCCCAACACTCAGGGCTTGGATGTATCCTTCAAGCCGCTCGAAAATCGTGGCCCAAAGTGGATCAAGGGATAAGAAAGGGAGGGGGAGAATAAAACTGCGAAAACTGTAAGAGCACTACGCTGAACGCTTGCCCCAAACCATCTCATTTAACCTCTTTAGCAACTGTGATAGGAAAGATGTCATCCCTCCCCCTTCTTTTCGAAGACGAAGAACGGAGCTTAAGGAACTATTATCGAAAGATGCAGTCGCACAGCCATTCAGGGACCGAGTCTGAATTCGAAACCTTTAGGCCATTCAGCGCAAAAGGCGTAGCTCTTTGGCCACGGCCCGCAGCGGGCCAGAGGGAACAAACAACCTGAGCAGCAGGGTCATTTGGTCCTGTGGATGCTTCTGGGCGCCGGCGTCCGGCGGCAGTGCGCCCTCCTCTCCGGAGTCCGCGGGCGCGGCAGCAGCTTGCTTCCCCAGTTGCTTTTCCATCCTGGCCCCCAGGAAGACCTACTGCATAGGACCAGACACAAGCTCTCAGAAGAGAACGACTTTGCCGCCACCAAATTGAGGCCCGGAAAGGGTCGGAGAGCCGGTGCGCCCCGCCCTGCTTCTTCCGCCCTACGGGCCCGCCCCTTCCGTCTTGTTCTTCGGTTGCCTCAGTTACCGTTGTCCCTTTTACCTTGGCTCTGCTATTTTAAAATCGATTCAAACGACTAGTACAAGTTTGAAGAACTTCAATTAAGCGCCACCTCTTCTGGTGTTTGGCTAGAGGCTGGGCTGTAGCCGTTTGGGACACTCGCGGGCACTGTCGGGAACCGTAACCTGGAGGGTAAAACCCCGACTTAAATTGCTTATTCAGCCTTAGGTCTCGAACGTAGGACTGCGGGACAGCGGGTTTTGTTTGTGGGTTTTTTCTTTTTTAAAAAACCTATTTTGGCACTCCCTGCCCATCCGCGGCCTTGGAAAACGGTAGGCTGGGGAAGAAATATTAGAGGTTTAAGATTTTGAGCTGAGCTCGTAAGGTCCAGACCCCTCGTTTGGCGGAGAAGCGAGTTGCCCAAGTTCCAAGATACCCACGCCACACTGCGAGGCAGAGCGGATACTTGAACCTCAGCCATCTAGTGTGAAACTCCCTTATCACTAAAAATCGTACTCGCAACAGGTGCCTCCAAGTGTCAGCTTGTTGATTCGACAGGTTACAACTGAGCTTTCTTAGCTGGCCAGTGAGCGGGACCTATAAATGCCTAGTTGAGCTATAGTTTTTCATAGGGACAGTGTAAGGGGACACTGTCCTTCGTGGCACAAGCCCGGCAACACGGATCTCTTCACCGTTCCATAGCTAGTTTCCCGAGTTGTACTTGTTCACATGGCTCCCCTTTCTTCCTCTCCTTTATTAAATACAGCTCCTGGCAAGATTCAAAAGGCACCGTAGGATGTAAATATGTTAAGTTCGCCTATCATACCCCCAAATTCCTGAAAGAACATTTTGTTTCCTTTAATTTTTTTACGCAAAAGTAATCCTACTCTGATTTACCCGGGAAGTCTTCCAAAATCAATCTCATCCTTTTAAGCAGTTGGCTATCAAGTGTCCAATGGCCAAATCTGGGACAAAGACAATGTAGTAGAGCTCCCCAATCTGAGCATACATCAGAATCGCTGGTTAAAAGATTGTTAGGCGTCTAACCCACTGAGTTGCATTTCTAATAAGTTCTAGGTGATATTGATATTGCTGGTTGGGGACAACACGTTTAAGACCCACTGCAGTAATTGAGTTTTAAGAATAACTTCTGCCCTGGTTGGTGTGGCTCAGAGGCCTGCGGACCAAAGGGTCATCAGTTCAATTCCCAGTCAGGGCACATATCTGGGTTGGGGACCACATCCCCAGTAGGGGGTACATGAGAGGCAACTGCACATTGATGTTTCCCTCTCCTCCTTCCCCTCTCTCTAAAAATAAATAAAATATTTAAAAACAAAGAAACCCAATAACTTCTTTAAAGAAAATTCAGACTAAACAGAAGTGCTCTTCACAGCCTTCTCTGCTTTAGGAACATCAGACAACACTTCAGTACTGTATTTGGGGGCCGCTTTAAAAAGCAAAATTACAAAAATAATTAAGCTTTTTACAAACTTCATCTCCAATGCAATTCAATTCAATATAAAGGTGTCTGACAAAAGAATTTTTAATCCTCTCCTGAGCATGTTTATTGATTTTAGAGGGAGGGATATGGAGGGAGAATGTGGGTAAAGATAGAGACACAGACATAGACCAGTTACTTTCCATACTTGCCCCAGCCAGGGATTGAACCCACAACCTAGGTATGTACCCTGACCTGAATGGAAGGCACAACCTTTTGGTGTATGGGAGGATTTTCCAACTGAGCCACTAGGGAAGGGCCTGACAAATTTTAAGAAACTACTTAGAAAATGAGCACTTAAATAATCTTCCAAAAAGAACCTCAAAAGAAATCATAAGTTAATAAGAAAATGATGAAAAGGACTATTTCAGAAACAAGTGATTTCTTTCAGAGGAAAATGTAAATGCTTTTATTATTAAAATACATTAAGTATTTAAGTTAAATTAGAAAATAACCAGTAGAAAACCAGATGGTGAGAATGAACATAAAAGCTAAAACTATGAAACAAAGATGGTAGATATTTTTAACACCATTGATTCTTTTTTAAAATTTTATTTATTTATTTTTAGAGGGGAAGGGAAGGAGAAAGGGAGAAAAACACCAATGTGTGGTTACCTCTTGAGTGCCCCCTATTGGGGACCTAGCCCCCATCCCAGAAATGTGCCTACTGGGAACTGCACCAGCAAGCCTTTGGTTCTCAGACCCCTGGCTCAATTCACCGAGCCACACCAGCCAGGGCTGATTCTTTCGTAACACTGACATAGACCAATACCTTGGCCAAGTCTGATTAGAAAACAAAAGTATTTAATATCAGGAATGATAAAGAAAATAAACTATAATACAGAAAAATTAATCATGCACCTCTACAGTTATAATTGTAAAAATCTAGGATGGATAATAGAAATGGAAAAAAAGATCTCTAATAGACCAAAAGGCCGTGGAAAACTACCATTTAAACAGTTCCAGGTCAAATAACTTTATAGTCAATTTAGTTTTCAATGAATGAATAAGGATTTCAAATTATAAAGACTTGAAGATGAAAATCTCTTTAATCCACCTTTAAAAGCTAGTCAACTAAGAGAAAACCCCAAAAATGGTAGCAACAAAAACTGAACCAATTTCCCACATGAGATACAAAATTTTTAAAATGAAACATTAACAGATTAAATCTATGTATCATGAGCAAGAATTCATTTCACCTTAGGAAACCTGTAACAAGGATAATAATCAAATTAAAAGACAAAAACCCTAATGATATCATAAGCTGAAAAAATAAATGAAATTCCACAGCTTTGCCTATAATTCTAAATGAATAGAAGAAAAACATATAAAGATCACTTAAAGACTAACAAGCAAAAATATTAAATGGTAAAAATACCTGAGATGTCCAATGAAGGAACAAGTCAGAGATCTATCTATTATCAATGATTATTTTGGATGTTCTAATACAATAAATACCATAAATGTTGAAAAATACAAGTTTTGAATTTAAGGCCTAGAAAACGCTACTAAAAAAGCAAGTAAAAAAGTTCACGTCAGCTGGATAAGAAAAATACACTGAGCAATAAAAAATAAAGTATAAATTAGATTCTACTCATAATAGTGGCAGAAAACTTAAACCTAATAATAAACTTCAGGTGAAGGGGGCCAAGGAGGAAAAATTGGGACAACTGTAATAGCATAAATAGTATAATTTAAACCCCCCTCAGATAATAAGTTTGACAACCTGTCATGCAACACACGTTTGTGAGGAACCTGGTGCTAAAACCATTTGTAGACAGACAAAACCCCCCAAAACTTGACAGGAAAAGTGCAGCAATTATATAATTAAATCCTAACACTATTCAAGGATATGCAACAGGACTTGGAGAAAAATGCTTCTGGGTAGGGACAATGTAAGTCCGTTTCAACCTAGGACATAAGGTACTGTATACATAATATACATATAGTCAAAATTTCAAAAGCTTTTTGGAAAAACCTAATTTTAAAGTTGATGTGTGTTTGAAAATTGCCCCCTCATATTTAAAAAATAGTAAAGCCTCATCTTACCAGATAATATAGTTTTATATTAAGTTGATCACTAAAAAAAACAAGTAGACCAGGGAGCAGTAGATGGGCATTGATGTTTCAGTTCAGCAGGACTGGATGACTTTAGTCATATGGTACTGGCATGAATAGGCACTATCTGGAAAAAAGAATCCTACCTCATACCACAGCAATTACAAGTCTAAATGGATACATTTTTTAATTTTAGAAGATGTTTATGGTTTGGGGATGGAGATGACTTTAACAATGAAAATCCAAAAGCAACTCCAGAAAAAATAGATTTGATAATATAAAAACTAAACATCTGCATGGCAAACAGCAGCGTTAACACTCAAAGGGCAAATAACAAGCCAGGAATGCCTTGCATATTGATAAGTTAGTAGACAACAAAAATTTATTCAAGTAGCCATTAGAAGTATAAATTAAAGCAACAAACAATATTTTTTTGCCAAATTCATGGAAATTGAAGAGAACGATTACCATTAGTTCTTGCAAGACTGCAGAGAAAACAAGCACTTTTGTACATTGCTGATGACACTGAGAGTCATCTAGCAGCATCCACTAGAAGTGAGAACACACACACTCCTGGGAGAACCCAGTATGTGTTAAAAAATGACATGGTATTTAATGATAATGACAGCACAGTATACAATTAAAATAAAGAAATAAACAGCACAGTGGTCAAGAAAATAAGCAATCTGAGTGTCAACAGAATGACTGACTATATTATAGTATACTATGAAATGTAATACTGAAATACAGGCCTATACAAGTTGAAAGGAATTGCTGAGTAAATAGGACAATTGCATTTTTTAAAATCTCCACAACAATTTACACGCATGATATGTTTATAGAAGGCAGGGAAAGATATATCCCAAAGTTCAGGTGGATGGGATTGAGATGTAGGGATGAAAGTTGGGGGAGGGGTAAAATGAACTTTTAGATACTTTTGTATGTTTAATAAGGAGCCTCTTTTATTGTCTCAACCAATAAAACAAAAAGTCAAGTAGATTTAGAATATAGATTAGAGTTCTTACTTTTTCCAAGTTAAAAGTTGATACTAAACTTGATAACTTAAGAAATAGTGGTAAAAGTAGGTTACTAGAATTATGGCAGCAACCACCAGAAGAAATAGAAAACAGGGGGACTAGGTATGAAGTAGACTTTTAGTGAAGTAGAACAAGGCAGGAATTCTCCAAGATAACTGGGCTTACATGTAGTATGCTCTGTGGAAATAAAGAGTTTTGAACACCTTCATGACCTCAGTAATTCCTATTAATAAAGTAAAAGTCAGGTATATGAAACAAGAACTACATAAGCAACAATTATATATATTAGTTGGGTTTCCAGGTTACCTGAAAGCATTTTTTACATCCTATATTCCCCACCATATCCTTAAGACACCTTTTAAGGTACCCTACAGTAGGAAGTAGTTATATTCAAATGAACTAAAGTATAAGAATTAAAAAGGACAATAGCTTTATTAAAAGTAAGTAAATGTAACATTTAATATGTACAGATAGCACATGGTGCCAATTGTATTTGCAGATATTACTGTACTCCAACTCAAATTCACAAGTTACACCTTTGCCACAGCCTTAGCTAAATCTTGAACTAGTGCAGAATTCAGCTGTGCTAGAGTGCTGATCTTAGCATGCTTAGATGCGGCATACTTGTTCTTGATAGTCTGCAAGAGAAAAGCGTAGTAATTAATGAAGGAAAAGAAGAAAACATAAGATCCAGTGGTATCGATATTCATGTAAAACATCAAGTTCTTAAAAATAAGCTATGCACGTGCAGGCATGAAGTCTTAATTATTTTCACTTTCCCCACAGCCTCCCGAGGTGTCACTGATGGACTCACCATGTGCTTTGTAAGCCCACGATTCACCATGACTACATTCTTAGCAAGGTGTTGCATAACAACAAGAAGGGATTCTTCAGTGTATGACAGGTAATGCTGTAGAATTGGTGTCTAAGACAACAAAAGTTCATGTTAAAAATGCTCATCAATAATGACTTTCACAAAATTTCTAGATGTTATTCAAGAAGGTAGGGAGATAGATACCGTATGACTGATTATAATTGAAATATAAGACAAGCTTAAGACCCCTCTTTCGTTAGACACTCCTCCTTCATGCTTCTCTCATATCCTGTGCTCAAACCAATACACTTTTGTAATTGCTGACTTGTCCACTGCAAACCTAGATCTGAATTTCTTGAGGCCTACTTTCTCTATTCCTAGACCTAGAGTAGCACATACAGGAATTCTTGTTGAATCAATGAATATGAATGAATTTCTAGTACGTCATTGGACCTGCTTGAACTTCTCCATCTATAAGGAGTATCAGTTGCTCTACTTTTCTCAAAGGGATACAGAAAGATGAAATCAGGTAATGAAATGAAAGCATTTTATGAAGACATCACAAACAGGATATCATCTTTAATCATTCCCTCTGCAATGCCATATTTAGGAACCATTTGAACTGTCCTTTAGTGAAAATAGTTCTGTACTCAGGAAAATACTATTTACAACTTATAAACTTAGGGCAACCTAAATCTGTGAGACAGAACTTACCCATTCACCATTATCGAGTATTTTCAGTGCTAAACAAAAAGCTCCCGCTGCAATCTGAGAAGGAGGAAAGTGCACCATATCGTAGTCTAACATACTTAGTTCCATCAGGTATTTGGCCAAAGTATGCTGCTCCACATCAACCTGGAACAAAATCCACACAAAGGTCACTGAGCTGTCAGAAAAATTTGCCTTGGCAATAACCAGTATGCCCATAACTGTAGCTATGTTTATCTATAAACTCTCAAGTGCAACTACCCGTGGAAGGCCTTAATAATATTAATATACAGCCTTAGTGGAAATAAATGTTTATCCCTTCCCCATGTAGTTAGGTATGTCAGTTGAACTGTATCTACTTGGTCAGCAGTATTCTCTAATGTACCACATCGAAGGTTTCTCAAGAGATCTATACCTCTCCAATCTTAGATGCTCTCCGAAGGAAATGCAGGGGTAGAGGACGACCGAGACTAAAATTTAAAGCTCTCAGAATCTTCATTTCCATTTGTCTGATTTGAAGCTTAGTGTAGGTATTGTCAGTTACAAAGGCAAAGTCACCAATTTCTGGAGGGTACATTTCTTCATATTTGCTCGCAATAAACATGGCAGTGACACCAAGCAGCTGCAGCATCTTCTTGGGCACCAAATTATTCTGCAATGGCAATTTCAACTGGATGAATATGTATTTGAAAAAGGAGACACCAAGCTATGAAAGAGGTGGGAAAGACATATTCCCAGAGCAAAATTTCTATGACAGTCTATCCCCCAAAACAGATTTTAGCTGAAAAGGTCTTTTTTTTTATGACTCAGCTAGGACCCTGGAAGAGAGAACCCTCAATTACTGAATTATGCTCACCTGCATGAACCGATCAATAATGGAAACAGTCATATACATGGTCTCCTGCAGTAATCTGAATTTCATTTGAACCTGCACCAGCCAATCAATTAGGATGGCTCTCATGTTTCCAGTGACTTCCCGACCCAGAAGGTATTTTGGTCTGACTGCCTGCTCTTCCTGCAAAAGAAACGCCGATTTTCAGAAGCAACACTCCATGTGATATTTCTGATCAGAAATATTAGTTACCAGCCCTGGCTGGTGTAGCTCAGTGGATTGAATGTGGGCTGTGAACCGAAGTATCACCGGTTCAATTCCCAGTCAGGGCACACACCTGGGTTGCGGGCCAGGTCTCCAGTGGGGGCCACATGAGAGGCAACCACATATTGCTGTTTCTCTCCCTCTTGTTCTCCCTCCCTTCCCCCTCTCTAAAAATAAATAAACAAAAATAAAATCTAAAAAAACAACAACAGAGAGAGATAGAGAAATATTAGTTATCAGAATAGCTCTGGGGCATTTAGAATCTCTAACAGTCCTTAACTGTTTATGTGGTCACTACAAAAAGCATGGAAACATTAAGTATGACAGTGGGACAAATTTTTCATATTGGCAGCTCTTATGTTCAACTCACCACTGCCCCCTACTGGCCCACGCTCTGTACCCACTCACCTCTCCAAATAAAGATACCCTATCATCTCCCATCTTCTCACCTAGGTTCTAAACCCAGAATCTGAGCTTTATGAAAGAGAAAAATAGCAGCAGCTCTCAGATCAGCTCGAACCCATGGGCTACCATTCTCCTGCCCAGGGAGTTAAATCCCCAAAACACCACACATAAGGAGAGTGAATGATCAAGGACCAGCACATACATCTGCTCAATCTACTCCTCCAAAATTGGAATACAAACTTTAAAAAGGGAGAAGAAACTCAAAGCAGAAGGCTGGTCCTGGCAAGGAAGTCATCTTAGAGGACAACTGTGTAGAAAATAGAGATGCCCCAAAGAAACAGGCAAGAGACGGAAAATGTTAATGATGCCAGGGGTTAGAGTATGCATCATGAAAAATTGGGTAAGTTTGACAGCTCTACTCCTTATGTTGTTAGCATATAGAATGCTTCCCTTTGGCGGGGAGAGGACAAATGCCACTAATGAAGTTTCAGAAGTGGGCTGAAATAAAAGAAAACCAAAAACTTTAGTTTTTGAATGTATTCTTCCTGGACACAAAGAACAATTTCACAGCCACACTGAACCAAAATGTTTTGTGTTGGGGTGATTATAGTTTGTCCAGAGTTTAGGACTTGCTAGCTTATAACTGTGATGGATATAAATATATCATTCAATCTGTAGACTTTCCATTAGAAAGAGCCATGCATGGTAGTATCTACTTTCACTTTAAAATCTTCTAAAAAAATAGTAAATTAAGACTTCATTGGTTTGTGTAGTGTTTATTTATTTATTTATTTATTTTTAAGACCTTTTGGTTCGCAGGCCAGCACTCAATTCACTGAGCCACACCAGCCAGGACTTTTTTTTGGGTATTCCATAAAGGAGAATCTGCCAGTGGAATCTACTGGTAAGAAATGTTTTTCCCACATCTTGCTTGAATTATTATAAACTGTTAATGGCAAATATCTTTAATAAATCTAGATGCAGTTTAGAAAAAGCAGATTCTAATCATAATACTGACCTCAAGTTGTCTCAGATAAGTATAGATATCTTTCACATATTCACTACAAAGGTTTGGATCAGCTCCATCTTCTGCATCCACATCATTCACTGCAAGAATTACATCAGAGAAAGCCTGACACAGATATTCTTCTGCAGGTGCACAGCCAGACGTTTCCATTGGGCTTGGAGAGGGAGTATCAACCTTGAAACAGAGAGACCTTTTGAGCTAATAGCAAAAAGGAGCATATAATCTAAGAATAAAGATCAGATTGGTACCAGCTCAAGAGACCATTTGCTGAATAGTCATGCAATTAATTTCCTTAAAGATCAAGTATCATCTTTTATATTTATTCAGTTTCTCTTTAGGAGGTGATTAATATGAAAAGTAAAATGCCAACTCGAAGTCAGCAGAACCTAAATGCTAACAGGAAAAACAGAGAAGTAAATAAATTCGGATTCTGGACATTCCTCCAAAGTAGACTGGTAATAAATGTCTTTATCAGTGTTACGTGAAATTAATCCAAATGAATGGCAAGTCAGTCTTTCATCTTTATTTCAAAACATGGACCACTTGTCACTGCTCAAGAGAATACAAGTTCTGTCCTAACTATTATTAACTGATTTCATTAACCATTTCCTTCAAACTCTAGTTACCCCATTGTTCACTAATTGAGCACTTTCTTCAAGCCAAACTCTGTGCTAGCCACTAACTTTATGATGTTCTCAAGGGGTTTTGAACTTAAAATGAATAAGGAAACTGGTTCTAGGAACAGTGGTTGGGGTGGGGGAAGTTAGGCAAATCTTCAGGAGTTGATATCCAAGATGTTTTGAAGGATGACGGCCTTTTTTTCCTTCACAGTAGATACATTTACCTAATACTTAATAGAAATACTCAGTTTTTTGAAGCTGTTAACTTGTCTTCTTACCTAATCTCTGAAGAGCTACATTTTCTTTCTGCTTTACACCCATTATGTGTATAGGCTTATTAACTACTCAGTGGCTATATTAATGAGTTAAAGATTCAAGAGAATAATCTATGTTTCAGCCAACAAATTCTGGTCAAAGATGGCTTGTACCAAAGATAGCTTAATCTTTGGTCCAGGCAGCTACTACTCAATACTATCAACAAAGTGATTAAAAGCATAGGTTCTGGCTCTGGCCCAATGGCTCAGTTGGTTGGAGCATCGTCCTATAAACCAAAAGGTTGTGGGTTCGATTAACATCAGAGCACATACCTAGGTTGCTGGTTCAAGCCCTGATTGGGGCAGACAGGGGAAACAACTGATTAATGTTTCTCTCTCACATTAATATTCCCCCCCCTTCTCTCTAAAATCAATAAAAACATATCCTCAAGTGAAGATTTAAAAAAAAAGCATAGACAAACCTGGGTTTGAATGCAGCATGTGCCACCGATTTGATATGTCTCTAGATCATACTTAATACTTCTCTAAGTCATTATTTACAAAACAGAATAATACTAGCTAAGAGTAAAAGATATGAGTTAAGCATTTAAAGTGCTTACCAGAGTACTCCATAAATGTTATTATTATTACTATTTATTGAAATGGTATTGCATGCATTAGAGTAAAATGAGATTCGTAAAATAAAAAAAATCAACGGGCTCTAAAATAGTAAAAATAAGTTTACCAAAATAGGCTCTGGTGAAAGTTTTTCTTCTTTAACAGCCTCAGGTTCTGGCGCCAGCGCCGGCGCTGGTTCTACCACAGGCACAGGCTCAGGCTCAGGCTCGAGTGCATTTTCCAGAGGTTTTGGTAGTTTTTTAGCAATAACTTTCCCAGCAGTTAAAGGTTTTGCTTCCTGTGGATGAATGAGAGAGAAAGTAATGTTTCTCAATCCGGGGTCACAGTTGGAAGATGGACTTCTAAAGATACGTTGGATCAGAAAGATAGTTACCTTTTTCAGAGGCAATTTGGCCTGTGGCTGTTCACTGACGTTGTTTCCGATGTCTCCAAGTGCGGTTCTTGGCCGCAGTCCGACCTTGGAGGCTGCAGCAGTGGCCAAAGGCACACGCTTTGCGCCTGCCATACTGATCTTGGCCTTATTTTCAGCATTAATTTTCGTGTTCTGAAAGAAGCGAGGCCACTTTTGAGAGCTGGCCCAGCCAGGTTAGACTAAGTCAGGGGTTAAAGTAAGCCAAAAGAGAGGTTCCGGAGGGAAGTCAACTGTGAACCACGGGAAACCCGGGTTGCAGGGTCTACGCTAAGACCGTGACAAGTCAGTTTCCTCCCTGAACTTCTTCACTCACATATAGAGGGACTTGCCCATTTATTGCCACTGGTACTAAAACACCACGAATTTCCATTTGAAAGGAACTGAAAAAATGTTTTCAATTGTCGGCATTTTCTTTTCCTTCCGGAAGGGAGTTAACGTAGTTGGTGGGAACCCGCACGGGGGGCCTCCATTACCTTTTAGAAAAGATTGCCGGTTGACCCTCCTCCGTTGCCCCGCACCCCCTCAATATTCATCCAAGGCCCATCCAGCTCTCTCCGTCACCTTCCAGTTTCCGTCGGTAAAACCTCCAAACTCGCCTACAATGCCAGGGGCCCACCGACACCCCTGTCTTCCTTCCCAAGTCTCTGCCCTGGACTGCTCCCGCCCGGGGGGCTCCGGTAGGCAAGTTGAGAACACTAAGCGAGAAAGACCACGTTTGTTCACCGTCCGCAGTAGCTCACCCTGGTGACCCGGAGCGCCATGGCTTCCTCTTCACCAGGTTGCAGCTCAGAGGGAAGAAGCAGAAAACGGGAGCCCCAGACGAGCGAGGAAACTGAACCCAACACAGACCAACAACCGTTCCTTCGCAGCACGCTGGGAGAGGCAGGCCCAGCCTCAAATTTAAACCCCGCACTTCTCCCTCCTTATTGGCCGGTTCGTGGCACTCGCTTCCTTCCCATTGGCGGCTGCCCATTCCCCGAGAATGCGTTTCCAGGGCGATCCCGCGACGGAATTCGAGAGAGGGTGGGGCCAGAGAGAAATGCCCAAACTTGGTCTGGCTCCGCGCCTGCGCTCTCGGACATTTGAGGTAGCCACCTGGGCAGGTCAGGCCAGGCCTACTTGTACGTCCCTTGATGTAATCCAGGGAAAAAGTTGCCTTGGAAAAGTGACAGTAGAGCAGCCACGACCTGAATGGCAAAAAAAAGCGCACTTATGGCTCTAGTCCTAGTTATTGTTGCACACTTTCCGTATATATGGAAATGTATATGGTGGTATATAGCCAGAAAGGCTTTGATAGGCGTTCTTTCATTTGATCTTTCCAAAAGCACTCTGGAAGAACCGAAGCCCAGAGAAGCTTTAGGTAACTTTTCCAGGATCACAAACTAGTAACGTGGGTACTAAATGTAGGTTTTCTCTTTTTTGGGGGGCGGGTTGGGAGGGTGGGTGGTAACCTGTGGGAGGGAGTTTCTGTGATATTTCCACCAGGCTAATTGTACCATAAGAATATTGTTATTTTCTTAACCTGCTAGATTCCTTCAATCAAATTGTTTTCCAAAGCCAATCCTTTTGTTTTAGCTTTTTGAGAATAATTTCAAACTCCGAAAAATTTCAAACAAAAATATTATAAACACATGTATACTCTTTACTCAGATTCAACTATCCTTAACATTTTACCCCATTTGCTTCGTTTACTTAATCTCCCTCTTTCTCTTTCTGTATAAACTATGTTTTTTTTTCTTGAAACATTTGAGGGTAAGATATATATATATATGCCTTTTATCTTTTAATTCTGCAGTGTGTATTGCCTAAGAAAAACATGTTCTGTTACAAAACCATATACAGTTAATAACTTCAAAATTTTACTTATAAAAAATTTTATTATAATTTTTTCATGTCCATGAGTCCTTTTTCCTTTTTTGCTTTATTATAATATTTTATTCACCCTGGTTTTTACACATTCCATTTTGTCCATTGATCTAATAATAATCCCCTTTACAACATTTTCCCTCCCCCAGTACATGATCCAGTGTAGGGTCAGATGTTACATTTATTTGTCATGCCTCTTTAGGCTCTTTAAATTTGGAACAGTTCCCACAGTTTTTCTTTGTCTTTTATAACATTGATGTTTTAAAAGAATACAGCACCCCCAGTACTATTTTTTAAAATTTATTTATTTATTTATTTTTAGAGAAAGGGAGGGAGAAAGAAGGAGATAAACATCAGGGTGTGGTTCCCTCTCCCAGAGCTGAGGACCTGGCCCACAACCCAGACATGTGCCCTGCCTAGGAATTGAACTGGTGACCCTTTGATTTGCAGACCAGTGCTCAATCCACTGAGCCACACCAGCAAAGGCCTCTGCTGCTTTTTTAAAAAAGATTTTATTTATTTATTTTCAGAGAGAGGGGAAGGGAGGGAGAAAGAGAGGGAGAGCAACATAGATGTGAGAGAGGAGCATTGATTGGTTGCCTCTTGTATGTGCCCCTACTGGGACCAAACTCTCAACCCAGGCATGTGCCCTAATGGGGTATTGAACCTGCAACCTTTCACTTTGTGGGACGATGCCCAACCAACTGAGGCACACCAGTTAGGGCTACTTTCCAAAAATAGAACTGTCTTATTTTTGTGTTTGTTTGGTGGTTTCTTGTGATTGAAATAGAGACTGTGCATTCTTAGCTATTATACCATAACATATGTTCTTAGGGGACCAGCTCTGCAGACGCATGATGTTTGTCCACCATAAATGAGATTAAATTTGGTCACTTGGTTAAGATGTTGCCTGATTTCTTTACTGTATATTTACTGTTTTTTTATTGCAGCTAATTAATTGTTTGTTAATAAATTTAAGACCATGCTTCTCATAAAATTTCTCCCTAGATTTCACATTCCCTCACCACAGCATTCGCTTGGAAACTGTTGAAACTGGTGTTTCATTGCCATGGGCTCCAACTAGCCGAAGCTGATTAAAAACAAACTTTGAATGACTCTATGATGCCAAGCCTTTATCAGACTTAATGGAAGACCCCTTCCTGACCATTGTGCAGTAGAAATTCTCTTAGCCCAGTAGTTCTTAACTGGGGAGCATTTTATCCCACAGGGGACATTTGGCAATGTCTGGAGGCATTTTTAGTTGTTACAACTGGGAAGGTCCTAGTGGCATCTAAAGGGCAAAGACCAGAAGTGTTGCTAAACATACTATAATACACAAGACAGCCATGCCCCACACCCCTCACACAAAGCCCCAACTTTCAATAGTTTGATAGTGTGAAGCTTAAGAAATCTTGCCAACTATGTACAATTATGTACATAGACTTGTTTCTATTCAGAATGCTAGTTATGCCTAATTAACATAAGTTCCATGGATCACCTCCTTTCTTTATAACACTTATAAATTTCTGACTTTCCTCCTCAGTAAACTACTCTGTTTTCTCCCTTAGCTAAGTTAATAGTGCCAACAATACATACCCGACACTGTTCTAGGTGTTAAGAATACAGCTCTGAATAAAATAGAAAAAATCCTTGCTCTCATAAAGCTTATATTCCAGGAGAGAGATGAAGCAAGTAAATAAGTAAATAAAGTATAAAAAAAAGTCAGCTAGTACTAAGTCATAGACAGAGAATGAAAAGAAAGTGATGCAAATAGAGTGACTTGGTAGCTATTCATACTTTAGACATGGTAGTCAGGGATAGTCTGAGAAGGTGACTTTTTTTTTTAAAGATTTTATTTATTTATTTTTTAGAGAGGGAAGGAAGGGAGAAAGAAAGAGAGAAACATCAATGTGTGGTTGCTGGGGGCCGTGGCCTGCAACCCAGGCATGTACCCTGACTGGGAATCAAACCTGCAACACTTTGGTTTGCAGCCCGCACTCAATCCACTGAGCTACGCCAGCCAGGAGAAGGTGACATTTAAGCTGAGGCTTAAGTGACAAGAAGAACATTCCAAATAGAGAAAAGAGGCTGTGAAAACCCAATGGTAGGATTGAGCTTCTCATGTTCAGAAAAGTCAGTGTGGCTAGAGTTTGGGGGAGGCAGGTAGTACAGATGAAATTAAAGAAATTTGGAAGGGTGAAATTATACAAGTCCTTGTAAACCAAGATAAGGAATCTGTCTGGGCTTTTTGTGAAGTGGAAACCTTTGGAGTGTTTTAAACTGAGGTGTGGTATAATCTATCTTTCAGAAAGATAGCCTTAATTGCTGAGAAGATAATGTATGCAGGTGAGAAGGAGGAGGTGGGAACAGAAGGGAAGGTGAGGCAAGGGAGCCATGAAGAGGCTATTGTAGGAGGTCAGGCAAAAGATGATGGCTTGGGTAGTTCTGCTAGTGTTAGCAGAAAGGGATGGTTTCTAGAAATATTTTGGAGGTAGACTTGATGGGTCTTGATGGCTTGCATTTTTAGAATAAGAAAAAAGGAATCAAGGATGACTCAGGTTTTAGCTTGAGTAACTGAAATGGAAGATAGAAGGATGAGCAGCCTTTAAAGGGTACAAGTTTGGGGCAGGAGATGAAGAATTCTGCTACATTTGGAGACCTCGTTGGGTAGGTCAGTTGGTTACAGTGTCATCCTGATATGCCAATGATGTGGCTTCAATCTCTGGTCAGGGCATACACAAGAAGTAACCAATGAATGCATCAATAATGGAACAACAAATCAATGTCTCTCTCTAAAACAAAATCAATAAATTTTAAAAAAGAATTCTGCTACATTTGAAATGCTTAGAAATATAAAAAGGAGAGGTCCATTAGGCAGAAGTAAAGTCTTCCTTGCTGTAGATAAGTCCTGACACAAGTGAGGTCATCTAGAGAAGGAATATAAAGAAGAGTTGATGTCCAGGAGCAAGTCCCAGGGCCCTCCACATTTAAAGGTTGAACAGGCAGGGAAAAGCCAGTGAATAAAATTGGGCCAGAGCACCAGAGAGGTAGGAGACCAAATAGTGGCAGGTGAGAAGAGAAGGCAGTGTTTCAAAAAGAAGAAACAGTGGTTTAGCATAGCAGATTGAATATACACATTTATTTGTTTCTTCCTGAAGATACTAAAAGGATTATTTTTTAAAAATGCATTAATTCTCAAAGATGGGGGAAGAGCAAAAATGACACCATTTTGGAAACAGGAAAGCATATGGAAGAGTGGTAATGGCACCAGTCTAAGACAGTTGCAATTTAAGCTGTCAGTGGAAAGTCAAGAAGCAAACTGATTCATGCTATAGACTTCAGCAGGTTGCAGGAATTGGAGGCACCAGGAGCCCATAAAGTCAGTGGTATAGGTAGAGCTGAAAACAGGATTGGTTGATTCCCTCCTGCAAACCTGAGCACAGTGTGAGTGCAACCTCTTCCTGGTCCTGGCAAATGACTGGAGGTTTATGTTTTAGAAAGGAACTCTGGATTTCAGATGCCAGGAAAGCATATGGACATGAAGTGAAATTCTTCATACCAAATGGTGATACCTTTAGTTCCCTTTTTCCACTCAGTCCTCTAAATGCACAAAGCTGTACTTATACCCTCACAAATGAGATGAAAGCATGATTCTCTGGCAAATGGACAAGTGCAAAAGAAAAGTCTTAAATATATTGATAGTTAGGAGGGGTGGCCAAAAAATGGCTGGGTCACCCTTAAAGTTTCGCTCACTATTTGATAAGCTTGCATAATGACACAGAGCTTCTAATCAATATTCTGATGTCCTACTCTTAACTGTTAACAGCCAGCCAAAGAACACCAGGCCTCTGAGGAAGTCTCTGACTTGAAAGAAGGAGGCCTACACAAACAGAGGAATTCCAGGTGAATAGGCAATTCAAGGAGAAGAAAGCCAAGAAATAAAAATAATAGTTATTTTATATCATCAGAGAAATAAGAGATAATGCATCCACAAGCAAGTTTTAAAAAGATATCTGGAAAATTAAAACTGT